GGGGGGGGGGGGGGGTTGAGCACCCTAATTTCTTTTCAGTTTGAGGGGAGCGGGTTGAGCCCCGCTTGAGATTCTTATCGAGACTGAGCAGGCCACTGGTTCCAGGAAAAATTATCGATTGCTCTTAATAAGGGACGGACCATTAGAAAAGTGATGGGGGGGGGGGTAAATTTTTTATGTTTGCATTTTTTTCAGGCTGTCAGCTGTGTATGTGTGTGTGTTTTTTTAAATATGTATTCTCGCATTTTAAACGAGTCTGATGCATGTTTTTTTTTAAACCCTTTTTGTTTGCATGGATTTTTTTCTGTTTTTCCCCACCCTCCCCATCACTTTTCTAATGGTCCGTCCCTAATAGCATACTTAATATGACATTTCTTAAATCTGAAATTCCCTGAAACGCAGCTATTCCAAATTATTTCTATTCAATTTCCAATGTCACACCGTGTATATTTGATTTTATTTCCTCCCATATCTTATTCAGATGAGCCAGGCTGTAGGAATGACCGCCTCAACATTTCTTCCGCTACTGAATCAAGAATTATTTGCGGTCAAGGCAGCCCAAAAGGCAGTGTGTTTCATGGAGTCAAAGTGTTTTTCCATTTCTTGACAAACCGACAAACTACAAAGAAAGGATTCCTGATCAAGTATCATTTCACTGATGATGAAACATATTCAAGTGAGTTCTGCTATAACCGAACTTCCTTATATCGTTATGATTTATTAATTGTAGTATTTGATACTGTAAAACACAATTTTGTTGGTGATTGGGTTAAGTCTTTTGGCAGACAAGTACTACATTTTATGATTCCCACCATTCCAGACGATTGTGTATGCCCACGTGGTAACTCTTACATCAGAGTGGATCTCACACAAAAGAAACTCCTCCGACATACAGACGATATTCGTTTTGAATTCAAGACCACTCAATCGAGCTCTCTGTTGCTGCACGCCATGGGCAGACATCGTGACTTCCTCCGAGTCAAGTTGGTACAAGGACAACTGAAGTTTAGCGTTGATCTGGGCACAGGTATAACCTTCTGAATTATATAAGGGAACGCCCTGGTCCAAAGAAGATGAGAGTTAAGAAGCGGGAGTTTGCATGAGAGTTGGGAAATATTTTCTGGGAATTCGGAACGTCTTCTGGGACCAATGGTCCCGTGGACTTTTTCCACCCCTGCAAACGAGAACAAGAGCAGGGTGCAATAGTCGTGCTCTTTGAGCTAGTATAAACGTAAGACTTACAGTGTACTTAGTGTTGTCTGCAGGGCTCGAAATAGGGGGCTGCCAATGGCCAAAAGCAGGCCATATTTTAGAAATGGCAGGCAAAAACAAATTTGAACAGCCAAGTAAAAAAATGGCAGGTGAAATTTTATAGATATATTTCATTTCATGCTTAACGCAACTCGTATATACTAGATCATTTAGTTGCCTAAATACGTTTATATTTGAAATGTAAATCCAAGTTTACTGTAGTAAAATAGACAAGTTTAAAAATAATAAAAATGCATATCATGGAAACATTGATTTTTGCAATATGACTCCTATAAGACATCGCCATTTTGGCAGTTCAATGAATAAAAATGGCAGGCTAAAATTTATTTCACCTGCCAAAAAAATTTATACTGGCAGGCTATATTTTTTCTCTACTTCAAGCCCTGGGTGTCTGTTAGATGTGTAACTAAAGGATTAAGGTGTCTCCCTATGTTAAAGCCTTCGTAGATTGCAGTCTGTTGATCGAAACGTCACAATCTGTTCTTATTTTTCACGTAGTTGCAGGGTACATCCAAGCGCAGATTGTAATCTGATCCAGACCTACTGTACAACTATGTCTTTGTTTCTTCCAGGTAAAGGGACAATCACTGTGCCCTCTCGTGCACTCAATGATGGCCAGTGGCATTTTGTGGAGATCACAAGAAACGGACGACGAGTTAAAGTGAACGTTGATAGAAGAGTTGCAGGTAAATGCATGTATTGGAGAAGCTAAGCCTAGTTACACTATCAAAGTTTCTGTGATCACAGTAGGAATTTTGCATTGGTAAATTCTAAGTTTTGAAGGATTTGTAAGAAATGTTTGAAGGAACTGAGTCACTGTTAAACACTGAGTCAGTTCCCTCAAACATTTCCTACAAATGATTTTTTTCTGTGTTGGTGTTGTGTACTCAGCTGAATATGATGTTTGTGATGTTACTCTGAGTGTATATCCACACCGGGCGAGCTTGAAAAATATGTAGGTCGTAGGTTCGATTCCCACCGTGGCCGGGCATATTTTTCAAGCTCGCCCGGTGTGGATATACACTCAGAGTAACATCACAAACATCATTTCTTACAAATTTACCTACACGTAATTCCTACTGTGATCACAGAAATCTTGATAGTGTAAACCACCTGCTTTTATCCACTAATATCCAGTATAAGTGAGCTTTTCTCCTCGATATCACTAATATAACAAGCATTCTTCTTCAGGTATCGTCGAAACACCGGGAATATTCACGAAGCTGGATCTCAGGGCTCCGAATGCATTGATGTATGTAGCAGGAAGTCCCAGACGTCAACATGGATCAAACTTTGTCGGATGTCTCAAGAACTTCGTGATAGATAACCGCAGACCAATCGTGGACGCACTTCGTGGAGATCCCGCACACACTGTGTACTTTAATCCATTCCCACGATGCTTTGCGACATAATAGGTAAGTTACTAAAATCTCAAACTCTGTAGGTAGTATATATCGAAGAGAGTTTCCCGGAACGACAAGCCATTGGGTCAGGCGTTTATTTCCACTCTCCAGGTTCTCCAATCTCAGTAAACGCATGTGTCGCAAGTGCCATAGAATCATAAGTACTGATTGTTAATATATTGTTTTCAACTTAAGGTACAGTGGCCTGTCCTATTACTGGCGTCTTGCCACAGGAGAAATATGCAAGTACCAACAGATTTATTTACATCGCGGTATTGTCGTTTTATTTTAAAGATTGGCTTGGAAATGCTTGTTCTAATATGAGCTGCTTGTATTATATGTTTTCATTTAACAAGCCAAATGCGAGTGATATATATAGACGGGGTCTTTCGCCCCCACTGGACACAAAAATTAAGATAGTTGACGTAAAATTACTACGGTTTTTTTTACATGTCTTTCGACTAAGTCATATGCCGTTGTGCATTAGCATATTCATAACTTCTGTGTTTATATATAGAGCGTTAATTTTTTAACATATTCATAACTTCTGTGTTAATATATAGAGCGTTAATAAAATTGCATGCGCAAGCAAAAACACTTCCCTGAATTCTTCTTATTCTGGGAGGCCCGATTGTTTAAAATTCAATAAAATGTTATTGTGTTTACCGTGAATAAATAACTTCCTTTAATTATACTTGATCTAGTTAAAATTAGAATTGCATAGGCAAGCAAAAAAATCCTCCCTGACTTTGAATTCTTCACGCAAGTAAAAAAAAACGCGTCCTTGAATTACACTTAATGTGGTTGAGAGTAAAAATTAGAATTGACCATTTGCATTATAGACTAAATTTTGGTCTAGACAAAAATTTCATCATAGGTTGAACGAGCATCACAAAATTAGTAATATTCCAAAGTTTCGTTGCGAAATGTTGTAAAATGCGGATAATATAGCCTTGCGAAGTTTGCCGTTTTTCAGTCATTTTGTATTACGCACAGGAAATTGACAGCCCAATCGGGTGTTGGGGCATCAATTTCCCGTTTGTAATACAAAATGACTGAAAATTGCAAATTTCGCAAGGCTATATTATCCGCATTTTACAACATTTCGCAACGAAACTTTGGATTATTACTAATTTTGTGATGCTCTTTCAACCTGTGATGAAATTTTTGTCTAGACTCGTCTAGATCAAAATTTAGTCTATAATGCAAATGGTCCATTGGCAAGCAAAAAAAAACAACTCCCTGACCCATAGGAGGCCCAATAGTTTAAAATTCAATAAGATGTTATACGTGAATAAATAACTTCCTTGAATTATACTTAATCTAGTTAAGAGTGAAAATTAGAATTGCATGCGCAAGCAAAAAAATTACCCGACCTTGAAGTCGTATCACTCGTTACAGACCATGTAAAGTTCGTAATGTAAACAAACGCTTTGTTTACATTTTGAACTCAGTCATACAGTTGTAAAATATGATTAGATATATATTATACTGAATTTTAAACACTCTTCTGGTTCGCTATGCTTGTAAATGAATACAGACTAGAGACTCAATTCAAGAAAGTTTAAAAGATACGAAATATTAATAACATTCCAACTGTCGGATCCCGACCATTGGAATGTAAGCCTGCGCAGAACGGACTTTACTTAAGAATAAAATTAGAATTGCATGCGCAGCAAAAAAATTGAATTCTTTGCGCAAGCAAAAAACGCGTCCTAATGTGAGACTGTAAATTAGAATTGCATGCGCAAGCAAAAAAAACTTCCTTTTTTGCAAGGTCACAATGAAATGTCATTCATCGGCAGCATGAACAAATGGCGACGCATGGTGAGTGCCGAAGGACACTCATCGCTTTCTTTTTCCTGTCCAATGAAATATCAAGAAAAGGATGCCGTTTGTTTTTACTGTATTTATTCTTAAATATTTGAATAAATTAGCGTAACATGTCAATCAAACTGTCGTCAACGTAAATTCAGCCAATCACAATTCTCGGCGGCTGGCTGCCGAGAGTCATCAATTTGACTAGGGATTTCCGGCAGGCTCTACTTATAAAAGAGCCGGCCACGCTGGCTAAGTTCACATTTAATCGATTGTTTTGCATTCGTTGGCTGTTAGAGTTGAGGCGAAGAAGTGAAATTTGCACAGTCTGGAAAATAATTCGAGGTTAGTATAAACGTTAATACATGTGATGTCTCAGTTAGGTAAGCCATAATAACCATCTAATTTCGGCTTTCAGGGGACTATCCATGCTCGGCCTTTGTAAACAGTAGTTCGGGCACAGAAAAAAATGGTATACGGGCAGGGCAAACAAGACATGAATTGTATATAGCGCATTTCATCTTGGTTATGCGATTACATCGAGTATTGCGCTTACTTGTATTACCTTCTTAGACTTAGCTTAGACTATTTATATCTTTACAACAATTGTGATAGTACTTTGTTAACTGTAAAGTAAAAAGCAAATTCCGAAAATACAGGACATCTTGAGAATTCAATATATAATTTAAAACAAGACGCAGTTTGATCCGATGGCGTTGTTCATTTTTTAGACATAAAAGTCTCGGTTGATGGTACTGACATTTATCGTAAGGACACCCACACCGGTCAGTATTCACATTTTTCAAGTTTTGAGCCTTTTCATCGCCAAACTGCATGGGTAAAATCTCTGTTCTACCGGGCTTTTAAAATTTGCAGTTCAAAAACACTTTTCAACAATCAAATTGAAACCATAAAATCTTTTATGTCTTAATGGAATGGTTATCCTAATGGCGTTAGAAACTATTTGATTAAAAAGCTTAAAACCAAATATATTGATAATTCTAGTTCCGATGTCGTTAATCATGACACTAATGATGATATGTTGCCTAAAATTTGGATTCGTATTCCTTATCTCGGAAACCGTGACGATTTTCTTTTAAAATCATGTTTCAATAAAATACAAAGATTTCTTTCTAAACCGGTTAAGTTCATCACTATTTATGACACTAAAAAACTCTCTTATTTTGTTTCCAACAAAGATAAACTTCCTCCTTTATCTCGTAGTAATCTTGTATACGAGGTCGCTTGCCCTGGTTGTGGCAAAACCTATATTGGCATGACACAAAGATGCCTTTCTGTACGTTTGAAAGAGCATGCAACTAGGCTCTCTTCTAGTGCAGTGGACCAACATTTTTCTGAATGTGAACATGCTCAATTCTTAGCTACTTTACAAGACCAGTTCACACTACTCAACGATCTTCCTTTGCCTTCTGACAACTCTTCTCCTATTGAAAACCTTATAAATATAGCGAAATAATCCATTCTCAGTTATTACTATTTTCTCTATCATGTTTCGCTTCGCTTGGATTAATCTTTCTTTCCGCCCACATGACAGATGCTCTATATGTGCTGTAAAGTATTGTATTTCATTCTGTCTGAAGATGACTTTGAAATAAAGTCGAAAATTTACACTCTCAAACTGCGTCTTGTTTTGAATTATATATTGAATTCTCAAGATGTCCTGTATTTTCGGAATTTGCTTTTTACT